CGGCGAACCCAGTTTTTCATGAGCGGACTAAGCACATTGAGGTGGATTGCCACTTTATTCGAGATGCCGTTCTTCAGGGCCTCATTTCTACTACTCATGTTCCTTCTGGGGAACAGCTCGCTGACATCTTCACCAAGGCGCTTGGGAAGCGCGAATTTGATTTCTTCCTTGGCAAGTTGGGCATTCGGAATCCGCATGCTCCAACTTGAGGGGGGGTGTTATTGTGTATATTTGTGTAATTGCTATATTAGCCTTAGGTTCTTTTTAGGTAACTGTAGCCCTAATTTTGTGTATATATATTCATGGTTAATAGAATATTGAATCATCCGATTGAGATGATCTTTTCCATAGTTTCTATCGTCTCTTTCGTATCAGATATATCAATATACACCAATTTTTGGATGAGACACCTTAACGATTAATTCATCATATTTTTTGAAAATATATATATATATATATATATTTACGCTGATAAATGTCATGTATAATGAGAAAGATCACAACTCATACCATCACCAATCCTAAGGACCAAGCAGATTGAACTCGAACGCCGAGTGGTTTCTCTTAAGTACTCGTCGTAGGGCATGACAAACGACGACCGGAAACTCCATATCGCAACAAAAGAAGAATTTGTTCATGGCCTTCCTCTATTAGTTACAAGTTCAGTTATTTGTATCTTTTGCAAGTACATCAAGTCATTTTATGCATGATAACCTTTTCTTTTATTTTTCGGTTAACTATTAACATTATCATTATATTGTCCTTGTTGTTTATAGTAACATCAAAATGTTGAGAATGTTTGGGGAATGTATAAATGAATAATCGGTATGATGGTAACACCAGAGGTCGAAAGAATCTTTTTTACCACGTATAATTTCACTATCGCGCAAAACTTGAATATACATGAATAGCGCAGTAAGTCGGTTCTCCAAATGTTTGTAAGTTTGTCTAACATACCAATTGTGTACGTTTTGTAGTTGACACTTTCGCTAACATAAAAACCTTCGTATTATCTCTTAGTGCTTCATTGTCATCTTCAAACTTCTCTCCATAACATTCTACAAGTTTATCAGAAAAGTTGCTTCAATGACTTGATAATATGTAACTTGGGGAAGCCTAAGGTGATGAGTGTAGGGTGGTTCATCTCATGTTTTATACATACTAGTAAAGTGCACGTGCGTTGCACGTGGTACAATTTTTTTTTTGTTTTTTTTTGTTTTTTGATAATCAATTTTGTTGTAGTAATGAAATAACAATAACTTAAATATAGAATTGAAAAGTTTTATTGTGATGCATTCTTGAATTTAAATGTACGGACCTAAATATTATGACATGTGAAAATGCAGGAGCAATAATACCAAAATAGTACTTCAGTAGTTAGGAAAATAAGAAATTGTTTTGGAATATTTCTTAATGTAATGGTTAATGAAGTTTGTGTTATTGTTTTGAGATGCCTAGTTATGCACAACATTATTTGCAATAATTTTTCTATTTTCTTCTTGATATTTTGTACTAAATTATATTAAGTGGGGATTTGAAGATATTGAAATAATATATGAAATTACGAATTCATAAATATTCAAAAGAGAAATGTTTAAAATTAAATTAAAAAGCCAATAACTAATTACGCAAAAACAAATTGTCTATAAAATAGAGAATTAACTAAATAAGGAACTAATACGAATTATTGTTGCTTCAGTGTTCTCCTTACTGTTACTTCAATTCTTCTCCTTTTTTATTTTGACGATTAAAGTTGGTTTCCTTCCTTTTGCTTTTGTACTTTTTCTTGCACACTTCTTCTTAATACTACTAACTAGTATTGAGCCCGTGCGATGCACGGAGTGCACAATTTTAAGGTCATTTATTCATTCTTATAATTATATAAATGAATAAAAAAAATGTACGGGATATATATAGTACGTGACCTGTAATAGGCCAAAATGTGAACACGGGTGATGCACGGGGTGCACAATTTTAAGGTTATTTATTAGTGCATACCCCGTGGGATGCACGTGATACATATAATAAATCAATTATTTCTATAGGACTTGTACATCTAGACAAAAAACAATAAGCTCGGATCATCCATATTTCACATCTTTTAATAAGTGGCATTTATTTAAGCCAAAAAATTAACATATTAATTAATATATAATTCCGCTAACACGTCATACTAATATTTATTTGATTTTAGAATACATATTTATTCATTGATATAGGGAAAAATAAAAATTTCATTAATTATTGTTCACCATATAATACTCAATTATTATTTTATTATAAAATTTACAGTCATATAATGTAATTATTATTATTTATAAAAATTATAGAAGTAGTCTTCTTTATGTAATGAAATTCAAAATAAAATTTTGAGTATAAATGTTTACAAAATACGCACACATGTTTTTTAGAATTCAATTTTCTCATAATAATTTTTTTAAATGATTTAGCAATTGCCAAAAAATAAATCCCTTACATACTCAAGAGATTTTTTTTTTTAATTTTCATCCTAAGACTTTATAGTTTATTTAACATACTATGCAATAGAAAAATATTTTACAATAAGTTTATTTTTGAAACATAACAAAAAAAAGTGATAAAAACACTATCATAGTTGACAATAATATACAAATAAATAACATGTCGAAATTTTAAAGAATAACTATAAATTTATTATCTAAACATCAATAAAATCATTTAATTATGTGATCATTATCTTTTAAATAATAAATAATATTAATTTTTTAAAAAAATATTAGTGTTATATAATTAAATAAAGGTTAAAAAATATTACTCGACAAATATTAATTATAATGGATATCAGTAAAATTATTGCATAAATTATTTAAGGAAAAAATCTTAAAGATCATATTTGGATAGTAAATGTAAATATGCAAGCATTTAATGCATATAGTAAAAAATTTCCAATTAAAGTATACATTAAATGCGTGTTGACTTTTCTTGCTACTGTTTTTGGTAAATATGTTAGCTTTTAATATATATATATAGATAGATTACGCGCTGAAAAATAATTCACAATCATGTGTTTTATTTTCTGTTGAAGATCTGTATGTTGACCCATTCAATAAGCCATCGTAATCTCTAACTAATTTAGATATCAGATTTTTATTTTTTTGAGATTTTTTTTAACAACAAAGAAATCTGATTAATATTTTCTTTATGAAAATAGTTTGGAAGATTTCCAAATGCACGGATTTAAAAATCAAACACCAAAAAATGTGCTACTTTTCAACTGCATTTAAAAGCATTAAGTAATGATTAGATTTGAAATAAATAAATATAAAATATAATATTCAAATGATAAAAATAGAAAAACATTAATTGCTTTGACTATTCTACATACTAAATTTAGTAAATGGTATAGCCTTTAATATAAGTATAGATTGTCTCATGATCTTCAACTTCAACAACAGAATCATTTTCATCTTCTATTATCTTGTTGATTGATCGCTTCTTTCTGATGGTGGTCCTCTTTGACGAATTGCCTTTATCCACATCCAGACCAGTAGGCTTTGGAGAGTATTTTCTTGGTTATCATTCATTTCCTCATCATTTGTCCTTGCAATTGCCTCTGCCACCGCATTGAATTCTCCTCTTGAGTTGAACGACTTACTATCGACTGGAATGAGGAATTGAAACTCAAATGTTGACTGTAAGCTCAACCCTTTGTAATATCCAGATAATTCTTCCCCCTAATGATCATTGAAAAGTAATTTGTTTAATAAATATTATACTTGACGATTAATGTGAATTTTAAAATGAGTATATATTTCACCTGCTCAATTGATCTGATGTAATCATTAATCGGACACCCAACGTACACCATTGCAGCTTCCTCAAATAAAGTTATTGTCGCATTGTGGGTATCTGCCACGATGTTTAAGACCAACCTATACCTGCAATGATTGTATATTTATTTGTAAAAAATGTTTTTATGTACGTAAATATTAGATGCAGTGTTTTTGTTATGCTTAATACCTTGGAGTTGGTTCCTCGATTTTGCTATTGCACTTTTTGCATGACATGCCGTTGTCGGTCTTCACAACTGCGGTGGCACAACTTTTACATGATTCATACCACAAAGATGATTTATCATTTTGCCAAATAACAATAAATTTAATAAAACACAAAAAGTAAAATCTAAAAATAGCGAGAGAAGTGAAAATAAAATAGAAACGATAAAGAGATATCTTGTCGAGATGTTGTGGTCTCAATTACAAGAAAACTATGGCCAAGACACAGTTTTTTATGCTTCTAATAACTTTTTCTATCCAAAAGTTGACCACAAACATTTTTTGTGCATTAAATACAAAAAACATGACACTGCGTTAGTACGATTTAACCTATTCAAAGGCAGCGGATTATGGACTCGTTTGCTTTGATTAAGACTACTTATTTTTATCCTCTATATATAAATATCGACCAACATTACATTCTTCTCATCACATACACAGAGTATATAAGGTTTCTTTCATATATTCCATAACATATTTGATTAAGAGAGGTTAAAAAAATTAAAAACTAACTGTAAAATCTGCCCTAAAGGCTGCCTTTGCAAAAGACTCTAATCGGATTGGTCACAAGAGACGTGGACCAGTTGATAGAGGTGAGTATATTACAGTAGGCTCAAGTCTTGTTCCAAGGATTCTTGGTCCTAATTTTTTGCTCAGGCAATCTGCATTTGTTGAAGAACACGTTTGTCACTGATCAATTGCAGAGGTGGAATTTAACTTCTGAATTTCTATCAAATATAGCTATAACATGCATGATTTTTTTCGGTTCTATGTATATCATTTCTGATATGACTTGCTGCATTTTTTCGTATAATTAAGGAAAAAATATCATTGCACCTGTATATATATGATGATTGTTAAATGTGATCAGTAGATGACCTTAAACAATAGTTTTTATGATTTACTTCTTTACAACTTAAACCTAGAACATTGTAACAAATCGTTATACAATTAAAAGTCAAATAGTAGAATATGCAGATTGGTATAAAATATGTGATCCACAATCAAAAGCTGAATCTTCTAAAGTAAAAATGGGCATTTTACTGACAAAAATAAAGAATAAACACTTTTAACTATTGTAAAAGGTGATTCAAACTGGAACAACTTTTGAGGACCTCGAACCTAAGAACTAAAAACAGATTAAGTTGAGCACGTGGATTGTCATGACAGGCAATGGACATACCGTAGTTCAACAGAAGGAGAAAAAGCATAGACAATGATATCTCTGTACCAAGCGCATAAAAACCTCAGGAGGCATCCAAGAAGTTTGCAGTGCCTTAATACCAATTCCAAATTGCAACCAAGTGAATAGCCGTTTCTCATGTTGATTAATAGAGATTGAGAATTCCCATGGCAATCTTCCATCTCAAAACCCCAAAATTACAAGACTTTAGGGAGTTGTAGATCCACCTCCTCAAAGAAGTCTTCTCTAATTCTTACATTGTTGAGTTTAATATATTATATAGTCATTCACAACTTCTTCTACGACAACAGCCAGAACACTAAAATTATTATTGTTCAAAACCAAACACTTCGAGATTCATTAACCTTGGTGATAGGAATTCTATTATTATTTATGTGAATTTTAATTTTATGGGATCTACCAATGATATGAGATTAGTTAGCTAGAAAATGATAATTTTGTTCGTTCTGGAAACTCACTACAACTCTTTATATTGTCTGAGCCAGTCGTTCACATATCGCTTTTCCAAGTTAGGACGGCTCGGGTGGTTATATAAAATGGTATGTTATTTAAAATTTTAATTGTAGGGGAGTCCATAAATACAGATCTATATGTTTTTAGCAAAGGTTCTTCAACTAACATTTTTTTATTTCCAAATTTCCATACGCATCAATCCTTATTCAATCAAGATGTATAAAACAATGGACAAAACAATAACAAGAACAAAGCAGATGAAGAACATCACGAAATAACTAAAAGGGGAATAAACATTGAACAACTCACCGCTGGAAAATCGATAATCAAGACCATAGGGCAACTCACCGCTGGAACAACTCACCGCTGGAACAACTCACCCCAACATTCATCACATCAGAAATCATAAAAAAAAAAAAAATCATACCGAAATCGTGAGCATACCGAATTTTTTTGGGGGCTGACCTTTGTTTCCTGGACGAATTTCTTCACTTGATTGTTGAGGGCAAAAATTAATTTCAAGAGAAATAGCATCAAACTTACAAAATTGAGTTCACTTATTGTTGAGGGCAAAAATTAATTTCAAGAGAAATAGCATCAAACTTACAAAATTGAGGTCACGCTGCTGCTCTGACGGTTCGATGTTCACGGCGTTTATCTCCTCTCGAAAATTTCTCACGCACGGCTGGGTCGCTGCTGGTCGCCTTCTATGTTGTAAGGATCGATGTGCTGGTAGTGAAAGGAATTGACGATCTTGGCTTAGATGGAAACACTCCTGCGGAACTGAATTTATCGATAGTAAAGGTACCCGAACTTAGACAATCAGCACGAATTCCTTTACTCAATTAACTATGGAGATCGACGATTTCAATCTTTGGCAGCACGAATTCCTTTACTCAATTAATTATGGAGATCGACGATTTCAATCTTTGGCAGAGTTGAGAAGACACGAAGGGAGGAGTTCTGGTTTATTATTAATACTAAATTAGGATTAGAAATTAGAAATTAGTGCTGGTTTAATATTAATATTAAATTATTAATATTTAATTATAAAATTAGTTGACAAAATAAGAGTAATTTAGGCAAAACATATTTTTACAGATTCATTGGCTCTTTTATAATAGTACATATATAGATAGATAGATAGAAAATAATATAGGTTTAACCTAACTAGAGTTGCACCCAACTATGGTTAATGATAACATTTTAGCTTAACCATAGTTATTCTTCTTTGTCTCCATAAATCACAAAAAAAAGCAGGAATAATGGAAAATTGAACCAAGGAATAACTAAATACATTTAACTATTTTAGTTACACAAAAAATTGCATACATATTCTATTATAATTATTTATATTGTATTTTAAACTATGATATTTGACGACTGGTGTAATTGATAACTAAAGTTTGTATGAATCTTTTTTACAACTAACATTTTCACTAGTTCGCGCAAAGTTTAAACATACTTAAATAATTCAATAAGACGATTCTCTAGGTGTGCCCGATTAGCGCAAGTCAAATGATAATTTGAACTAATTGCGCGAGATATTTATATCACGTTCATGATAAATATTCTAACGTTTGAATTAAGGCGATGATCGGCTTCATTGCAGCATGCGCCTCATATGCAATTGTGCACGTTTAGTACTTGACGCATTTGCTAGTTTTAACGCTCTACATTAGCTCTATCGTACTTCATTCTGTAATGACCCGTAAAATATATTTTCCCAAACTTTGGGATTTTATATATTCTACTTATTTATTATTTATTAATTTAATCTTCCCTTTCAAGTATTTTAAGAAGGTCAAATTATAGACCAAGATTGATTTCAAATTTATATCATACCATACTTAAGTCTCTTCCAAAAATCATATTGATCTCACCTTCCTAAATTGGCCCCAATGAATTAGTATAAATACCCTACACCCTAGGACACATTTTGACACAATTTCATCCTAGAGGTATTTTCCTCATCTCCTTTCTTTCTTTCTTCCTCTCCTTTTCATATGTTATCATTCTTCCCCAACGCCGACCCCGGCCATGCGCCGTCATTCTACCACCGCCGGACCGACCCTTGATCGGATCCATGTGCGTGTGTGTATATGGGTACGTGGGAAAACAAGTTGAATGAAGATTATTATTTTATTTATATTAATCACTTGGTTATTTATTTTATTGCTATCAATTTCCTCTAGATCTATACGTATATTAACTAGTATATATGATGAACTGCTAATTATTTGATTGCCATCAAGCCATATTGAGCAATTCATGCCTCCCGAGCAGATGAGCATTGAACTACCATTAGCAGTATTATACTTTCATATATATATATATATATATATATATATATATATATACACACGGCACACACCACATTAAATTATGATATATATATATATATATGTATATATATATTTAATATATGCACACGCACACACACTACATGTATATTATATTATTGAATATACACATGCACACAACACACTAAATTATGATATATATATATATATATGCACACGGCACACACACCACACTTGATTTTATATTATATTGCACATACACCACCAACACCAACAATGCTATGTATATTAATTTTATTCTTCTTTTGATGTATTATATGTACACAGACATAGATTTATATTTATTTATTTTAATATTAACAATCCCTCACCTATTTTATAGTCATATTAATCCAAGACTATTTACATTTGTAGAGTTGGAATACACTGAGTAGTAGGCATTCCTCCGAGTCGATCTTGTCATCCTTCATTTATCCATTCATCCAGGTGGGGTTTTATTCTTACAAACAATTCATGTTCATGTCTGAATATTTCATTATCATCTTCAAGTTACTTATGTGATCTTCGTATTCAATTGCCTTCGGGCTGGAATATATATATATATATATATATATATAGCCCTTTGGCTATACACAGACATTATAGCCGAGTACTCCGTGGATTTATTTCTACGTAAAACATGTTGGAGATTCATTGTCATGCAATAACATTTCTATGATATTCATAAGTGTCTCACTTTGCCCCACTAAGCATCTTTGGCTTAACCCAACTTTTATTAAAACTATGTTTCAGGTTGAAGGAGCCGGCGGCGTACTGGGGGAGAGGGCATATCATACTAGTGATTTGTTATGAAATAATGTTTATTTCGTTTGATTTACCTTTGAGACTTGTATCACGTAATGGTTTTGAGACTTTCGTTTTATTATTAAAAATTCTACGCATTCTATTTGTGAAATTTTGACCTACGCTTCCGCACTTAGTTTTCGAAAATAATCTAAGAATATTTTCCATAATAATAAGAGTATTTTGAGGGCGTTACACATTCTTTAGTCGTCTTAAACTTCAAATTACTGTCTCCATACAGTTTAATAAATGTATCAGCAAAGTTGCTTCAATGACTTGATATGCAACTTGGCAAGACTAAGGTGGTGAATGTTGAGTGGTTCATCTCATGTTGTGTATATGTAAAAATAGTATGGGTTTTAACCTACCTAGAGTTGCACTCAACTATGGCTAATGAATACATTACATGTACAGAGATAACAGAGTTATAACTGAATAAAAGGTGTGCATAATTAGCGCAGAATATTCGTCGTTACAATTATAGTCGTCTCGACAACTTGATTCATGCACAGACACATATATTCTGTCTTTAATTCTGATTAAGAAGTTTAGGCCAAATTAAAAGTTTCTTCTAATTCACATGGAGATATATACATAATCTCATGGAATTGAATCAATCCAAATTATAAGCTGATTGAATTTAAACTTACTTACATGTAGGGACCTCAGTTTTTTTACTCTATGTGGGTGGAAAGTATTTGTTGAGATTGAAAGGCAGTTTATAAAACTCTTCGTTTCGAGTGTCGCCGTTGAATGTCCTGAACTTGACCCACCACGGCATGCCACGGTCAGCTCCCGATTTTTCCACCTCTAAAGTGTTGTCGATAAAAACGGCCACCATGAACGCGATTGTTGGAGGTGACATGAAAATTGTGTTAAAGAACGCATTGAACTGCGCAATCGAACATAAAAAAAAACGAGTCGAATCAGAACACATTCTCGATAAAATCCTTTAAATGGTAACCGAATTTCGAACTTCTTTAGGATTCAATCATTCAAAAAAGTAACACTTACCCAACCGGCACGTGTGTGAAATAGTCCACCACGGCTACTCCAATATTCGCCGAAAAAATGAGGAATTGAGATCCCAAGGAAAAGTGAAATGCCAGTTATGAACAGATTTCTCATAGAGTTCATATTGGTAAACTGAAGAAAGGATAAACCGACTGATCCTGTTGAGTCGAACAAGCCACACGGATGTTGAGGAAAATACGAACAATGCTATTAAAGAGAGAAAATACATAAGCGTATAATAAATTAATAAGTTAATCACATACCGACAAGGCCAAACAGAACACAGTATAGTCCGGCAAATATTGGAGTTGGTATCGATGCAAAAACAGCTCCAAATTTGCCTGCACATATGTCATACATTATAACATTGTTCTTTATGAGAGATTTTGATAGTGATTTTTGTTTACTGACCAAAAACAGAAAGGAATATCATGAATCCAGCCGAAACTTGGACAACTCTACGGCTCCCGACTCGAGTTAGACCCAGCAGCCCCACATTTTCCCTGAGAAAAAGTAAAAAATGAAAAAAAAAAGTCAACGTATTTAGCGGGAACTATATATATAGGTACAGTTAATAAATTCAGTTGCATATATTATCGGCAAACTTACACGGACACAGCGGAGCCGACACATGTTCCAAAAAGACCATCGCACAATATGGAAACTCCCTGTCGAAAGAATTAATGAAAATTTAGTGTTTGTGTAGTGATCACTTAATGGTAAAATGTTGCATTTGAGTAAGAACATTACAAACGGAGAACATTATGAACACGACTGAATTTACGTTTTTGTGGAGGAGTTTTTTGGTCTGAAAATGGTTTTTTTTACCTGCCAACCAATGCCTCGGCTGAGTACGTAAGCAGGCGGTGGAGTAGCAATCGCTAGACGAGCAGCTGCATTATAAGCCCCTGTCGACTAATTACAGTAAAAACATCTAATTACAGCACTTTTCAAAAAGAAGAAAAATAATAATTAAAGAGGCCGTGGTTTTTAAAAGAGTTACCTCAATCATCGACACAAGAACAGCCGATATCATGGCAAACGAGTGACCTGCTGAAAAGGTCGGCGGGCCCCACTGAAATGGATATGGAATCATGAACCTGATAAAAAGAAGTTGAGTTATTACATATTCATGAGAAAGATCAAAGTGTAAGAAAAAAAAAAGAATGAAAAAAGGGACTCTAACCATGGAGAAGTAGCTACAAGATTGGCTCGGTCTGTACGGCAACTAAGCTGAGTTTTATCCGGTTTTTCACGGTAAGCTCCACTGCCCGTAAGTATGAGTGCGAATAACCAGATAATCGAGAAACAAACTAATACAGAGAATCTCTCGAATACGGGGAAGCCCTTCACTGGCCTCACATGCTTCAGATACTGCAGTTTGTATGTAAAATCGCGTTATTTTCAAGAATAATAATAATATTATTATTAAACGAAAGAAAGAAAACGGAAAAGAAAAAAACGAGCATGACCTTCAGATTGAAGTTCGGTCGATATATATCCATTTACCTGCGAAAAGCCAATAACTAGAAGAAGCATAGGCAAACCGATCTCCACACAATTCCCTAGCTGCAAAACAGGGAGATGGATTTGTATAGCAAATGCATACTTCTATTTTTAACCATAATTACTTAAGACAAGTAATTCATGATATGTTTATATGCTAGTTAAGATTTTTGTATGGAAAAAAGGAGATAATATATAAAAAAAAAAATGATCTTTACTGCAGGAAAGCCTTGTTGAAATAAGCCCAAACCAACCAAACCGACCATAGGCGCCATCCCAAGAGGACTGAAAAATCTGAAAAAAATGCATAAACTCCATAAATAAAACCCGTAAGTTTCTTTCAACATCGAAGAAGAAAATGCTTCTAGAACTTGTCGACAATTGAGCATAAAGAATCATATATATATATACCTGGAAAACAGACCCCACATTTGGCTGTAGCCTATAACTATTTGTACGCTCGATGCTACAAGAAGAGCTCCTTGTATAGCTCTCACGGTATGCATGAATCTCTACCAAAAAAAATAAATATAAAGTTTATAAATTTGCTAGTTTTATATGGGAAGTGAGTAAGATTCGAGTTAATTTGCGTGCACCATGCAACATATAAAATGATGTTATGTGACTTACCAAATGAGGATCATCGATTTTTTGTAATGACGAGTCATTAATGATGTATGTGATCGGGATGACATAAGCAAAGGAGCCCCCAACAACGGCAGGCAATCGAGTCCCAAAAAGTGATTGAGCAAGCGTGTTGACGCCAGACACGAAAACCAATGTCTGCACGACACGTGTCTTGTCCGCCTGGTTTGTGTCCAACAATGAGAAAATTAAAACTATGAATCGATCGAAATGTCATTAATGAATTTGTGCCACTTAATGAAAGCTAAAAGGAAAATGGTTAGATTATCAGGTTACATCCGATCCACCCATCATCGGGACAAGCATTGTTGGCAACATCACACTTGTTCCGAGCATTACTATGTAACTCTGAAATCCTAAGAGGATAGTTTGAGCTGCAGATTTAAAAAAAAAAAAAAAAAAAAAAAAAAAAAAAAAAAAAAGAAGAAGATAGAAAGAAAAAAGGAAAAATGTTAGTGTTATATAAGGATTAAGTTTATAGTATTTAGTTCTGTTCCTTTTCCTGCCTAAACCGCATTTTACACACTCGTTTAGATAAAACAGTTCGAAAAGAGCTCATAAACATTAAATGTGCGGGATAAACGAACACGACAAAAATCATGGTAAGTTTGTTTATTGATCAATATTAACTAATAAAACATCAAAATCTATGAACTTATGTTCTACAACAAGAGTTACTTATGTACAAACGCGAAATATTATGTTCTTGAGATTTCAAATGTAAATGATCGACATTTTGGGGTAACTTTTTATTCCCCAGAAGTAAATTCAGACACCAAGTAGTTTCTAGTTTGTGAATCATGATTCATAAAGTTTTTAACTTTCAGGTAATAATAGTATCATTTAATGAAAGGAAAAAAGGCAAATGATATACACTGCAGAAGAAGAAAAAAAAAATGGAAGGCTTTTCTCATATAAACACTAGATCTGGCATCTGAAGTCGGTGAAAACTTATATAGTCGAGCATTTGAGATTCGTAAAATCGGCATAAAGTTCGATAATATCACTCCCACATTAGAAAAACATCAGTGCTAGTTGAGTGCATCACTGTTTTTAACCAAAAAGTTAATAACCAGAGTTTTTTCAGCCTGGCATTTTACAATTTGGAAGTCCTTGACCAGTGATTTTTCAAGTAAAATAAACCAGACACTGGAAAAAGAAATGAAATGAAAGCAAGGAAAACAAAATCGCCATAAATTAGCAAGCTTTTAAGGCCACAGAAAGTGCATTTTAAATTTTTCGAGGTTGATAAAGAAACCATTCAAAACCATTTATTCATTTTTCTTTCGGCATCACTCGAGAAACGACTTAGAAAAAACATGTATATGACGAAATGAAAAGAAAAAGGTTACCAAATAACAACCCAAAAACAGAACATGCTCATCATGCCCATGAAAAGTTCAGTGCATGCAACTTTAATAGCTGAGAAAACAACTCGTAAATCGATCGATAAAAAGCTCGAAAGAAAAACAAAAAAAAAAAGTGACGGCAAGTGATGTCACGTACGCCATGAAGGATTAGAGTCGATGCAGTACTCGAGGTCATGCAGCTGCTCCATTGGAGGGTGGGTTATGTCACCCATTAGTGTGTGTGTTTTTTCAGAGAGAGAGAGAGAGCGAGAGAGAGAGAGAGACTGATTCAAGTGATGCTGAATACAGAGGCAATAATGTGAGCAAAAAAAAAGCAGCAAATATGTAATAAGAAGAGAAGTTCAAGAAAAAGCATAGCTCTTGAGAGGGCTTATAAATGAGAATGTGAGTGAATATAAACGCAATAAATGCATGCGAGAACAATAATCTGTATATATAATGGGTTTCTTAATGTCCCATGAAATAGAATGTGTTTGGTAAGCACAATATAAGTTAATTTATAATCTGTATAATCTTGTATGCACATATGTTTAGTTTGGTAGGACGATTTTTTTTTGAAAACCTTAGTTTATCTCATAAACTTCTTTGGACAGTTTTTCATAAGCCAAACATATCCAATAACTTATCAGCTATTAACTAACTTATCAGTCAAGTTTACCAAACATATCCGATAAAGAAATGGTTTTTATTGTTCAAATGTAATATTTTCATAAATTTATTGTGTATTTAAATTTAACGACAAATTGTATTTTTTATGAATTCCAATCTTAATGACTTTTTTCGCGACTTTTGTCAATTGATTCATGTAATCCGGGTTAAAGCTAAATGCCACTTTTAGTGAACATTTTAATTTGGGTTTTTTTTGTCTTGTGATGCAGTGTTTTGTGACCCGGACCGGCCCGGCGGGTCGACCCGGGACCCGGTCGACCCGGAGCCGGAACCGGTCCGGGTGGGTTAATTGGACCGGGCAACAACGGACCCGGTCAAAACCCGGTCGACCCGGCCTTGACCCGGTCGACCCGGGGCATTGACCCGGCTGGGTCAACCCGGTTGACCCGGTCTATATGTATTTTTTTTATTTTTTTTTGTTTTTTAATTTTCTTTTTCTTTTTAAAAAATAAAATTAGGTATATATATTTATATGATAAATATATACATATTATTACCACTTTAATCTACAAATTTTACATATGAAATATTAAATTTGTTATTTTTATGTATATTTATATATCACAAAATACTCTATATATAATTTTATAAATTTTAAAATTAATTATCCGGTTCAGCAATTGACCCGGTGACCCGGCGGTTGAACCGGTGACCCGGTGACCCGAAAACCTGTCCGGGTCGATTACCGGGCCGGGTTTAAAAACTATGTTGTGATGCAAATAAAATGTGGCGAAGCAAATGACCATAAATGCTCTCCAACGGGTATTATGGCCAATGGGATAGCCAATAATTATATCACTTGTGCTTTAAATTGAATGCACATTGTAACACATGGATATAAAAAATTAGTATACATATATATACAAGAAAACTTGAAATTGACAAGGTATTTTTTCTATCTTCAAATGATGTGCAAATTTTGAAGTATGATTAGTTACTTGTGCAGGCTGGAATTGTGGGTGTTATTCAATGAAAGTAGTTATTTTCAATCACTGTGAAAATATATTAAGTTTTTCACACTGTTCGCGGGCAGGTTAACTTTTTTACTTCTGAAAGAACGAAGTCGTTGCGCAATAAATATGTAAAAGTTATGTTAAAGTGCGAAGACATCGTGTGATGAATAGACGAAATTTTTAATCGCATATTCAAAGAGTGTGAAGTTAGCCCTTCACATTCTTTAAAAAAGTTAAATTGTCATTGAAAAATACTGTGAAAAACTGTAGATATCTTTATGATAGAGTGAAAAAGACGCCTACTCGTAGAGTATAAAACGTTTACTTAATTGTGATTCGAAAAAATTAATGCTATTTCCCACACGAAGTTGAACATCGTAGAATCAACATACATTTATATGAGCGTGTAATTGTGTGTGATTGAATAATCACCATCTGATCAACCCCAAGTGGGCATTATTCACGAATAATGTTGCATATTTCGAATAGCGAACTATCATTACACTTTCAGTTATGCATGATAATTAAAATATAGCTCAAGACAACATCACCTAAGGACGTGAGACCTCATTACGTTACCCGGGGTTCTTGATGACTCCCCATTAATGAGCCACCCCAGGGGTGGGCTCGACCCAAGAGGTTGTTTTGTCAACCAAATTGAAAAACGCAGTCCTGCTTCAACCATGGTATAACTAGAGTTCTCACATATGATGCCAATTTAGTAGGGATCTACCAAATAACTACGATTTTTGGATAACCGGGCCTTCTTTGGATCTCCGAATCGTCTTTGACCTCCTCATCGAAGTACCTGAAAAAGCATCGAGAGGGTTCCCAACGTAGATCTTCCAACGATCAAGTCAGTCTCTCGAATATTCAAATATGATGTGCATATTGAAAAATATTGATTATTAGAACGTAAAAAGGAGGAAAAGGAATAAGCTCATTGCTATATCTTGATGATTACCTTGATATTCAAGATTTTCATACCTTGTTGCCAAAAAAAATCTACCTTCTCCAAGTTGACTCAGAATCTTCGATAGAGCATAAATAGATCCTTCGTGCACCATCTCGATCAGCTAAAGGTCTTATAAGGTTATGACTTATGTAGATCACAAGTTGATAACGCGAGCTATCTAACACCCTCTCGGTAACAACTTGACCTATTCAACCTAACTCGAAATGAAAGATCTTCGGTCTAGAACCAAGTTCTGATTCATGATTGCGCTCTCTATGTTGTATCACCTTTAATTATTAAAAACAAACACTAAGAAAAAAAGGTAAACATTTTTTTTTTTTTTTTTTGGATGATTGTATTTCTAAGATGTATGTGTTAATTCATGAAATTTAAATTCCATTTATGAAGAAAAATATTATAGTTATTTGGGAAGTAAAAAACCACGTACATTTCATACTGCAGTCAATATTTTACCCAAAAAATAACAAAACTCAAATAAATTGGAGAGACTCGATTCAAGACTCAACCAATTTACTCCATATCAACATATTCATAGTCTCTTACAACAAAATTTCTCCCATTCATTGTATATTTACCTCCACAATTGTCTGATTCAATTTGGGTTTTGTGCACACACATTCATAAAATTCTCAATCGAGACACTTCAAGAATAATAAAAACAAAAAAAGATTCAAATTATACTCTCTACATTTGTGAGGACGTGAGAAATCATAGGAGGAATAACACACACAAAAAAAAAACATTGATCGAAACAAAACGTACCATACTCCCACCGTCTTCCCTCATGTAACAACAACAANNAAAAAAAAAAAAAAAAAATCAAAGAAAATTAGGAAAAAGAAAAAATGTCGAGCAAGCTGAAGAAGGCGATCGGCGCCGTGAAGGACCAAACCAGCATCAGCCTCGCAAAAGTCTCGTCGAGCGGCGGCGGCTGCAACGCCCTGGAGGTCTCCGTCCTGAAGGCCACTTCTCACGACCCTTCCGTTCCCCTCGACTGCAAGCACGCCCTCGAGATCGTCCGCCTCGTCTCTTCCAGCAAATCCCACGCCGCCGCTGCCGCCCGCGTCCTCGGCAAACGCATTGGCCGCACCCGCAACTGGGTCGTCGCCCTCAAATCCCTCATCCTCATCCTCCGTATCTTCCAAGACGGCGACCCTTACTTCCCCCGCGAAGTCCTCCACGCCATGAAGCGCGGGGCCCGCATCCTCAACCTCTCCTCCTTCCGCGACGACTCCTCCTCCTCTTCCCCTTGGGACTTCACCTCCTTCGTCCGAACCTTCGCTCTCTACCTCGACGAGCGCCTCGACTGCTTCCTCACCGGAAAACTCCAACGCCGATCCTCCAACCACCACCACGACCACCACCGGAGCAAGAACCGGGAACCGAACGAGCCCGTGCGCGACATGAAACCGGCCATGCTCCTCGACCGCATGTCCCACTGGCAACGCCTGCTCGACCGAGCCATCGCCACGCGGCCCACGGGCGCCGCGCGGGCCGACCCGCTCGTCCGCGCGGCCCTCCACGCGATCGTGCGCGAGAGCTTCGACCTCTACCGGGACGTCTCGGACGGGCTCTCTCTCGTCCTCGACAGCTTCTTCCACCTACAGTACCAAAACTGCGTGGCGGCCTTCCACGCCTGCGTGAAGGCCGTCAGGCAGTTTCCCGAGCTCGCCGCGTTCTATTCCCTCTGCAAAAGCCTCGACGTCGGCCGGAGCTCCGAGTATCCGAGCGTCCAAGTCGTCTCCGACGAGCTCGTTGAGACGCTCGGGGAGTTTCTCAAGGACCAGTCGTCGTTCTCGGCCGGACCGGCGGCGGCAGCGGTGGCGCCACCATTTCCTCGGCCGCCGCCGCAGCCGGAGCGTGGCTCATCACTGGAGGAGCTGATAAGCGCGACGGAGACGACGGCGGGGTTGGTCGGGCCCGTGATATCGATCGACCTCGAGACATACCCGACGGAGGCGGCAGCGAACGACGGGGATGCGTTCGGGCCGAGCGACACGGGGTCGAGCAGGTCGCTGCCCGCCACATCATCGATCGTGGACCTCATGTCGCTCGAGGATTGGGCGGAGGAACCGAATAATTGGGAGGTTGTGCTGGCCGAGACGATGTCGACGCCTACGTCATCATCGGCCGTGTCGATGTCACGGGAGGAAATGCCGAACGATCATTACGTTAACCCGTTTCTGGTGGATCATCACGACCCATTTGAACCGACGGCCCAAGGGGTGGCTGTGCCGACTTTCCAGGCACGGATTACGGGCGGGGATGACCCGTTTGGGGAGAAGAAAGGCGGGGACGACCCGTTTGGGGAATTTACAGGTGAGACGATGTTTGGTGGAGCAATGGACCTGCAGAAATTGAAGCAGCAACAAGAGATGTGGTTGCAGAACCAAAACAAGATTATAGCTAAAAATTGGAGCTGATTAATTGATTAGGTTTTGCGTTGTAATTTGTAAAAGGTTGTGGAGGTAGATTAATTTGTGGCAAAAATTCAATTTTGTTTAGTTTTTTTTTTTTTTTTTTGGGTACAATGAAGGGGCCAGAAGGCCTAAGCTAGAACTTGTCGGGGGTATGAAACCCCAATGTTATCGTGCATAAGCCAATCTCCCAAACTCGGAGGAGGAGAAGGAAGTCGGTGTAGCCCTAGTGGGAAAGAAGCCGCCAAACTTGCCAAGAAATCCGCTGCGAAATTCGCCTCCCTAAATCCCTTTTAAGCAGCTCTTGAATAGCTCTAACCAAAGCCCCATGATGTCCACCCGAACCCTCCGAATTAGAAATCATGGTTGTGATGCATTGACTATCGACCTCAGCTATTACTTGGCGATGTCCTCTATCCCACGCCAAGCATAGGCCCTGGAATAGGCCCCAAAGTTCAGCTCCCGTTATCGTGCAGGGCCCGATATTCATAATAAAGCCTCCTCTCCAACGACCCATCTCATCCCGAATCAAACCTCCCGCACTACTCAGTCCCGTGGACTGATTAAAAGCACCATCCGTGTTGACTTTCACCCAACCCGCATCTGGAGGGATCCAGCGGATTGACCGTGTCGTGTACGTTGGTGCCCCCACTTGCAAGAAAGCCGCGGCTGCACGACCATAATTCTCCGTCAATTTCAGAACTTCCGCTACCCTCGCCGCTACACTTGGATACTTATTTTGAAAGATTCGTTCATTGCGCCATTTCCATGTTCGCCATACCATCACCGAAAAAGTGCTGCACCAATTATTAATACATCCTAGCCGAGGCCGCAACAGGTTCCGGCGAAGCCAATCTTGGAGAGATTGCTGGAAAAAATTGCCCACATCGGCTGCCGGAATCAGGCGCAGCCAAGTTTCCTTTGCAAATGGGCAGTCCCTAAGGGCATGAATGGTCGTCTCCCCGTCGCCACAGAAATCACAGGCAGCTGAAATTGACAAGTGACGACGGACACGCTCCGCATTGGTGAGAAGGCGCTCTTGACCGGCCAACCATAACAACATGCGAGCTCGCTGCGGCGCTTGGGCACGCCAAATCGATTTCCACAGCTGCCGGTTCGGATCTCCTGCTTGTGGTGATAAAGCTAAATATGCAGATTTTGTGGTAAAATTTCCATCTGTGGACAACCCCCATATGATACGATCCTCAGCCGCCAGCGCTCTCGGTGGGAGCGTCTCTGCAATACGTAGTATAACATACGAGGGTAATATGCCATGGAAGAGGTCCCACTGCCAGTTCCCGCTTTCATTTACTAGCCTCGCTACCAGTGCGTTAATATCCGGAATGCGCGAATGGTCATGAACAAAGTTGCACAGCGGCCCAAGCGTGTCGAGCCAAGAGTCTAACCAAAAGCAGGTCGTTTCGCCGTTTCCTAGAATCCACCTAATACCGTACGCCACATGAGGCCAAATCGTACGAATGGCCAATTTTGTTTAGTTTAGTTGTATAAATCCTTGTATGAGGTTAAGTGACATGTACCAAGCTTGATTCCCTAGTTCTAAACAAACACTTACCAAATCGAGTGGAACATTGGCCTTATCGAGCATGATTGATTCTTTTTAGCTACTCGAGTTCGAGCTTGATTTTTTAGGCTCGAGCTCGACTCGATAAAAAATTATATAGCTCGAGCTCGACTCGAAATCAAAATGCTCGAGCTTGGCTCGAAATTTTTTAAGTAGAAAGATAAAATTACCATTAAAGACCTATACTAACATATATAAGGGGTATTTTAGTAATTTAACATGTATCTTGAGCCGCTCAACAAGGCAAAATATGGGCTCGAGCTCGACTCGAGTTCAGTCAAACTCGAGAACGGTGAAATTGATCGAGTGATGATCTCAATCGCAACTGACTGACAACGAAAGGCCAATTTCGTGGCGGACTAGCTGGCGTCGTTGGCGGCTAGAAGCCCGAGGGGTCTGCATAGGTTGGAGAGTCCTCCGTTGGGTACAGGCGTTTGGCTCCAACATGATCTGGCGGGAGTGTCTTACCCCGTACGGTTTTAATCTAGGCTAGTGTTAGTCTCCTTGTACCGGAAAAAAATATTATTTTAATAATGTACATATTTTGCCACCCATCTCCAAACCGCCTTTTGTCGACCCGGTTCCCAAAAAAACCGAACAAGAACAAATAACTACCGGGTCAACTAAACATCATCTTGGCACCAAACACCTTCCCCTGTTTTTTTCCCCACCATCAAAAACTTCCATTCATGATAATTCCATGTTTTCTAGTTAAATACAAAAATAAAAATAAAAATAAAAATTATAAATTCCTTCATGTTTTTGTAGTCTGTAATCGCTCAACCTTTACATTGTATTCCCATTTCACAGTTCTCGAGGGCTTTCAATCGACCTAAAAACACAGGATTTTGCCGCGCCAAATTCGAAATTTTCTCCCAAAACATTCGATCTTTATTGTGTTGTTTTCCTCTAATGGGTTGTGCTTTCATGGTTCATCTCAGGGCCTTCCATGTGATTTTCTTGACTAGTTTCCTTTTCCAGGTAATTTTGTTTCTGTTTTATTACTCAATCTTGCCCAATTCCTTTACCATTCTTCTGATTTATTTTTTCTTCTACCTTTTTTTTGTTGAAATGTAGCTCGATTTATGAGCGGTGGTGATTGGGATAAATTCTAGAGAGCCCGTTTGTGCCGGTGATGGCGAACCACAACAACGGGCGCTTTGTGTTTCCCCTAACAAGTTTGCAGATTGGGTAAATTTGGATATGGTTTTTTTGCTATTGATCTGGTAATCTCATTGCTCATGGAGATATTTTCCTTTGCAGGGATTTGCAGTCTTACCTTTCGCACCTCAATCTATTCCCAGCACCCACAAGCGGAAAGCTCTACATATTAGTCGACAACAGGCCGTGGCTGCAAGATCTCGTCTCGCGCTCCACTCACTGGTGGCAGCTCATGGTCACAAAGGTTCCCTTAATCGCGACTGACCTCACTCGAAAGTAACCAGATATTTCAAGAAAATTGCGACCATCCTAATTATTGTTTTGTCGAAACTGTTCAGTCCAGGTTGTCCCCATTTGCCAACACGAGAGGCAAGAAGGAGAAAGAGAACGAGCTCTTAGAGCTAGAGGCTTCTTCTTCTTCTTCTTCGGATGAAGGGGAATCAAGAAGTTTCAGAAATTGGTTCTCGTTTATGGATGCTGTGATGTTGTCTAGAAAACGGGCTCTGCTGCCTGTAAAGAAGCTAAGGAATTCTTTCATCGCGAACAGCAACTTGCATAGGACGCTTTACGGATTTATCGTGTTCGAGATTGCATGGGATGATGTTCGTGGCATTAACTATTTTAATGAGCTTCTGGTAATTAGACTGCAACACATTGCTAAGAACACATGTTATTAGCATTGAGAGTGACGATTATTTTTATATTTATATTTTCAGACTGATACATCACTTGCGATTGAGGCTAAAATCATGCGGAGGTGGGAATTCGACAGTATATCACAAGCTTCCAAGACCATAAGATCATGGTTTCCCGGGACTCTCAGTGATCGTATTCTCTTGAAGGAACACTTAGATGCTACGATAGGTAAATATATCCCTACGGATGCCTTCATTTTTCTACTTAACCTTGTCAAACTTATGAATCTCTTCTAAAATCTATAGCTCGTCAGAAAAATTGGTACAATACTATGTGAACAAGGAAGCCATCTATTTCAAATTGTTCGCATTTTGATTTTTTATACACAATTAGGTGAAAAAACCAATATAATTGTAAAGTTAGTGGGTTTTTACTTCAGGTGAAGTTTACCATGATGCTCAGGAAAGCTTCCTTACTGATAACCCACCCAACACACAAACCTTGCCTGATAAACCCAACAAGAGAAGAAAAATCATGCAGTCAATCTACTTCGACTCGGAGCTTGGGATCTGCTCGGGGGGTGAATCTTATGCGGGCCCCATTGAGGTCCTCTTAAAGACCCCAAAACCGATTGATCACAGCACGACCCACGAGCCGACCCTCTACAGAGATGTCCTCATTCTATTCAGGTTCAACGACCATGATTTGCCTTTCGAGCTAAAGCACATAATCATGTCAAAACTGCGGCTTCTCACACTTCTGGAGGCCGGGCTCCCTTCTTGGGTCATTTTCCTGCAATCTTATCCGGGCTTCTGTCGACTTTACCGCCCGTGGATGTGTCCCCTGGCGAGGGGCGTTTATGTCCTGATTTCTATCGTGACTGTCCTTATTGGGTTCTATGACTTGTACAAGAACGTACCGCTTCTGAAAACTGCAGCCTCGAATCTGTTTGGGCCTTTTTCTGATTGGGTCGAGGAGTGGGAGATGATCTCACGGATCAAGTACTTGGGGACTATGCTGTTCTTGCATAATTTTCAGAAAGCGGTCAAGGGGTTTCTTGTGGCTGCTCGGACTATCGTGAAGTTTGTCTCATTTTTCGTTCGCCCGATGGCCGAGCCGTTTTTCGAGTTTGTAGAGATGTTCGTGCCCGTTTGGATGATGCTCGTGCGGCTGGTCGGCGATTTTTTTTCGGTGGTTTGGATGGTGGTTGAGTCTTGTTTTGCGGTGGTTGTGGATTTTGTGGAGATTTTGGTGCTGCCTGTTTGGTATATATTGATGTTAGCTTGGAATGTTGGTGAGTTTTAACATGGTTTAATTTACAGTAGCTACAGATGTTGAGCTAGAGCTAATATTTTGCTTCTTTTTACAGTTGGACTTTATTTCGTAAAAATTCGTATATTTCTCACTTTTTAAGATTTTTTTTTTTT